AAGGAAGTGGATAGAATGTGTGAAATATCTAGGCTGGGGGAGATCATCAGAGCGACCAAAGCCAACAACAGCAAGCAACCAACGTGAAGTCTAGACCAGCATAAGCCCCGGGTGGTGCGCAGGCAGTGTCTGTAATAGTACCACGTGTCATCCCAGGGAAGTGTGTGTCCAGCTGTGCGTCATTCTAACGCCCTGCCGGTGTCCATGTGCAAGGCTGCGGAGTTTTGAACCTGCAACCTCATACCACAACGCGCATTTCCAACCGGTGCTCTAAACGGACCCCACCCACCCTCCTTTCTGCAGTTAACAGCCATTTCGTCAAAATGGACATTTTGTATTGTTTGAATGAAATTGAAACCGGCTAAATTGGCCCGATTCACCCCCATGCAAGTTGAAATTTTAAGGAAATTGAGGGTGGATCGTTCTTAAAACGCCATACCCCCTGGACTCTAGCGAAGTCCAGATACATCCAGGGTCCAGCATTTTAAGAACACCGGCCCTTCAAAAGCTACCCCCACTCCCTAGCGCACCTCCCACTCCCATAGTCCTACCATTGACTTGGTTTTATGGTCTTTACGAATAGATCAGAATTTTCTTCCAACTACTGTGCTCCCCTTTGGTTTGTGTCTGTGTTAACTACTGCTGCTTAGGGGAAGCTTGTCGTAATTACTAATGAACTACTAAACTTTCTTGCCCTGTTATCAATCTCTTTGCCGTATTGATATCTCCCCCTACTTCTCACCGTGTAGAAGATTGAAGTAGGGATAATTGAGGAGTTCTGTAGGGCAGAGATTGATTCTGCACACAACGGGGTTAATCCTTCCTCACTGGGGAAGCAATCAATGTCCCGCGACTATGCTACATTTGTGATATGCAGGGAAGCTGTCTCCAGGGGAGCAGTGGCTGAGGCTCTTCCAGCCGTAATGGGAAGAGGAGTGCGTATAAGCGTTGTAATCAATTTCATAATTGGAGCCTTGGGCACTGGGCCCTTTCGTTGGAAAAAAAAAAGAAAAAAAAGGAAAATCACCCTTCTACCATCTTGGTGGGGTGACCTGACGGAACAACGGTTGCAGGCACCAGCGCTAAGCAGGATCCACAGTCAGCCGGGGTTGAAGCATATTCGAGCAAGCCTTGTTGTGCAGGTTCTGTGGGCGGCAGGTGTAAACATTCTCTCTGCATTTCACTTTTCGTTAAACCACCAGTACCTCGCTCAGCTAACGGCCGCGGGCCTTCCTGTATATGCGCCGCAGCTTTAGGGGGGTCGGCCAAGGGAAGGCCAGGTCGCTCCTTCTTGGCCGGAGCCCGCCAAGTACGGGGTGTTACTCACACAATAAGAAAAAAAAAAAATTATAAACACAAGAGAAAAAATGAAATAAAAGAAGATACTGTCGTTGCTTCTTGGCGCGCCGTAGGGGGGGGAGAGAGAGAGAGAGAGAGA